TGCTTTTACAGCAAATAAGTTTCTTGGTTTCTTGGGTCTCTCAATAGCATGCTCTTAACCTAAATCTATTGTTGTCCTCTCACCCAGCACCTCCTTTTTCTCCAGGACCCCCAGTCAGTGCCTCTGTGCCCTGGATGAGCTCTAGAGCCAGCTTCCTGGGTTTGAATCCCTGGTTTCATACTTCTAGCTTCAAGCCTGTGTGCCTCAGTTTTCCCATTTGTTAAACAGGGATAAGGTCAACGCCTACTCAAATGGTTGTGAGGATTAAGTGAATTAATAATTGGAAGATACTTGGGTGCGGTGGCTCAATCCTATAATCCCAGCACTTTGGGAGGCAGAGGTGAGAGGACTGTCTGAGATAAGGGGTTCAAGGTCACCCTGAGCAACATGGTGAGACCTTGTCTTTACAATTAGTCAAAAAAATTAGCCAAGCGTGGTGGCACATGCCTGTGGTTCCAACTACTTGAAAGGCTGAGGCAGAAGGATCACCCGAGCCCAGTAGGTCGAGGCTGTGGTGACCATGAGCGTGCCACTGCACTCCAGCATGGGTGACAGAGTGAAACTCTGACTCAAAAAATATATATATTTGGCAGATGTTTACAGTGGTGCCTGGCACCTTATAAGTGTGTACATTTTGGGCAAACACTTGTGGACCCCACGTGTGGTCCAGTGCCTGCCCCTTTCCGCTGCTTAGCTGGAAAGCCACCTCCCTCACTGCTCTGACAGGCCTCACTACTTGGATAATCTCTTGGCCACAGGATTGGACTTGATGTGCTGTCACGTCAAATCAGCTTCTGAGCCACTGCAGCCCTGACAGCGCAGGACTGGGGAAGGAAGGGAGAGAGGGAAGGGTGGAGAGAGGATGGCCCAGCTTCTGAGCCAGTCCAGAGCGACCCGCCAGAGGTGAGGAGGATGGAGGAGAGAAAAGTTGCTGAGGAGAGGACTTCTTGCCCAGTGGCGAGCCCTCCCCCAGCCCAGGGCTGCCACCTGGATTGCCTCAAGAGTGCCAGGGGCCCTGTGACAACAGGAGGGCCCAGAGAGTTCAGAGCGAGCCCCGCAGCACGCCACAGGGAAGGGAGACTGAACCAAGCGCTGGAGGTGCCCATGGGAGCCCAGAACCGAGGAGTTCTCACACTCTAGCTCACCAGGGGGTCTGGGCTTTCTTATTTTACTCTCTCTGAGCCCTGGAGAACAGATTGTAATTTGGGAGACCTGGCATGGGATCCAGGGACCTGCATTTTTAGTAAGCTCCCCAATTGCTTCTGATGCCTGCCAGAATTTGTGAATTGCTGTATCAGAAGAACTTCAGAGAGCCCACCTTCCTCCACAGAGGGCTGAGCCCAGTATAACACACACACTTGCCCAGAGCTGACCGTTTGCTCACAGCCCCTTTCCCAGTGTCCTTGACTTCACTTCCTCAACTTCCTCACCTGTATGTCCCAACACACAGGTCTGGGCCCACTATGAGGAGCAGCCCGTGGAGGAGGTGACCCCAGTGCTGGAGGAGAAGGAGCGATCCGCCAGCTATAAGCCAGTGTTCGTGACTGAGATCACCGATGACCTGCATTTCTATGTGCAGGATGTGGAGACTGGTGGGTGCTCAGGGCTGGGAGTGCCCCCAGGAGGGGGGTACCCTGGGCAAGGGGTACTCAGGGCTGGGAGTTCTCTGGGCGGGGAGTGCTCAGGGTGGAGGGTGCTCCAGGCTGGTAGTGCTCTAGGAGGGGGGTACTCATGGCAGGCGGTGCTCCGGACTGGGAGTTCTCTGGGCGGGGAGTGCTCAGAATGGGGAGTGCTCCAGGCGGGGAGTGCTCCAGGAAGGGGGTGCCCTGGGCAAGGGATGCTCAGGGCTGGCAGTGCTTAGAGTAGGGGGTGCTCCAGGCAGTGAGTGCTCAGGGAACAGCTTCTCGCTTGGTCTAGCTGATGTTGCCTGGGAATAGGGAACTCTGCTGTCTGGAACCCCCCCTTGAAAATCTAATGCTGTCACCTCCCCCACCCCCAGGCCTGTGCCACAGCCCGAGGGTTATTTCATGAACCCACATGTGAGCCCTGGAGTGGACCTGGGCTTGTGGGCAAGGCTGAGCAGATCCTCTGAATGGGTGAGGTCTCCAGTTTGGACTGGGTGGCTGGGCATGAGGCTGTTTAGTGACCAGAGTCTGTCCGGAAGCACCAGCTGGCATGGCTCAGCCCCCTCCCTCTCAGCTTCCTTGGGAACAGGAGAAGCCTGGGCTTGTCTCTGCTGGGGTTTCTCCTTCTCTAGAGGTGAACATAGCCCTGAGTGGTAGCCAGTTTCCATGGAAACTGGCAGCACTCTGGGGGAAGTCATCCCTGGGCAGTGCTTCTGAAGGACCCTCTCCTCCCCCGTCCTCTAGTGCTGTGTGCTACAGCCAGGGTCCTCTAGGTAGAGGCCTGAAGCTAGAGGCCGGAGAGTGGGGAGCCCGGGCAGCAATGGCTCCACTTCCCGCCTCCACTCCCTGTACTCTACCACCCTGACCTCCCTCCTCTTATTGCCACCCTTTGTAGGGAGCAGTTTAGTTGAGAGTAGAGGGAAAAGCTACCTTTGGTTCCAAGGAGCCAGATCCTGGCAGAGGGGCCACCTGGCAGCCCTGCAGATGGCAGTCAGGACACGCTCTGCTGGCCTCTTCACATTCCCCCAGTCCCCTCCTGATTGCCCGCAGCCTTGTCGCTGCTGCTTCCCTCTAATGATATTTCCCAGGCAGCTGCTTTTGTGGCAGTGTCATCTCACCAGGAAAAACTTGACCGGTCCTGGCCCTGGGCTAGCTGTGCTTGGGGAGGAAAAGCATGAGGGAGGGGCAGGATGGGGCCGAGCAGCCTGCGGATCCGCTTCTCTCGAGGTCAGCTGCAGTCCTGGGAAAAGCTGGACCAGCAGTCACCCTGGAAATGAACCCAAGGAGGCAGCCAGCTTCTGGGTCTGGGGGGTGTGGCAGGGAGGAGTCTTGCTCTGGTGGTCTCCTGAGCAGAGGAGCCAGCAAGCATGGCTGTCCAAGACCTTGGGCAAGAGGGTGCCACCACTCCCAGGCAGCAGGATCCTACTGGGGAGAACCAGCCTTGAAAGGGAACAGGGCCCTGAAGTCTCCAGGGGCCAGAGCTTGAGGGTCTGAGGCCCTGTGCCCCGCCTGACTGTCTCTGACAGCTCTAGGAAGCCAGGAAACTGTGTGCATGGTCAGTAGCCAAGGTGGCATACTAGGAAGGAAAGAGAACTAGATTAAAAACAGGGGAGGGCGTGAGGCACTGGAGAGGTCCCTGCCCTCAGTGGCTCCATCTAAGCCATGAAGAGAACACTCAGGACCCACCTCCCCTTTCTGAAACCTTTCATCCCTTCTTGGGGTAGATATCCTCTCACCCTCCTCCTTCCCTCAATTAAAGCCTGCCTTCGGGAAGGATCTGACGAAAACATTGCCATTAGCTGCAAATGACCAGCCGGGCTCTATGTAAGGACCTCCCAGAGGGCTTTGCCTGTTGGCAGAAGGCAAAGTCTTGCTTCTGTTGCCTTGGATCAAAAAAAATAAAATAAAAGTAGACCAAGTTAGGGAGGAACTTGTCTGTGCCGAGGCTTCTTAGTCCCTGGAGTATGACTATCTACGGGCAAAGAGCACTGTCCAAGGAGAATTCTGGAGCATTAGGTAGGGGAAGGGCAGCTGCTTCCTTCATGTCCCTGTTCTGAGTATGTGTGCTGGGCCAGTGGCTTGTGCAGCATCCGAGAGCGGATGCCCATCCTTGCGTGCATATGCAGTTTATTTCCAACACAGCTGAATTATTAAGCACCCTGCATGCACTAGGGATTCTACTAGGCCTCATGCGAGTAAACAGAAGTGAGTGAGCTATGGTCTGTGCCCTGGAGGAACACACAGTGGAATGGCAGGGAGCTCAGCAGGTGACTGTGGCAAGGGTAACAAATGTGTTACTTTTCATGGCCTGACCTTGGGCCCTGGAGATAGAGGAGTCCCACACTCACACCACACATTTAGTCACCTGCTGCCTCACCTCTGAAAAGAATGGAGGCAGAAAGAGTCTGAGTCGGAGCTAGAGTCAGGGCCACAGGGGACTGATGCCTCTGGGGTGGGGTGGGGAGGATGCAGCAGGAAGGAGCTGGAGGACCCTGAGGAGACCTCAGGTGTTGGCAGAACAGGCCAAGAACAACAGACAGACCCCTGGAGCTGCTGATCCAAAATCAGAGTGATGAGGGGAAGACAAAGGTGTCCTTCTCCCAGGGAGACGTGGTGCTCAGTGGGGCGGGGGCCGATGGAACCCCAGCCTGGCAACACTGGAAGTTCTTTTCCGCATGTATCTTGCATGGTGACGAGGGTCACGGTGGCCAAGGATGAATCTACTGAGGCTCTAGGTCCTGCTCCCAGAATCCCCCATCTTTCATGGCTGCAGTGCTGGGGCCCTTTCCTTGTCCAGGGTTTAATGGGGTCTCTCCTCTATCCCCGTTATTGCCTCAGGAGACATTGGACAGAGTAGCTTCTGTCAGGCAACACCTCTGTAGCCTAAGTCGGAGCTATCCCTGGGAGGAAGGGTGTAGAGGCTGGCCAGCTGTCACCCTGGGGGAGGCTATTGGGCCTTGGCCTTGCCCCTGCCCCATGTCCCCTCACTTTCTCTACCTCCTTAATCCAAGCACAAGTCCTCCCAAGGACTCCCCTAACCCGGCCCAGTAGACTAGAGCTGAGATTGGAGGTTGTGTGTGCCTTTAAGACCTGACATGTCGGCAAGTCACCAGTCCCACTTCTGAAGACAGATGGCAAAAAACCTTGGGAGCAGGGACCAAGGGGACTTCCTTGCATGAGTCGGGGGCAGAGCCAGTGCCACAGGGTCCTCCAGAATTGCACTGCCCTCTCCCTCCCGTCAGGCACCCAGCTGGAGAAGCTGATGGAGAGCATGCGCAATGACATCGCCAGCCACCCCCCTGTGGAGGGCTCCTACGCACCCCGCCGGGGAGAATTCTGCATCGCCAAATTTGTAGACGGAGAATGGTAAGCCACCTGGAAGATCTGGCCAAAATGATGGCAGGGCCATCCTCGGAACCAAACCCCAGGTGCTCGCCTTAGTATTCTGGGTTCTCCAGGTGGTTTTGATGACCCCCACCGGCTCTCTGGGGTGTCCCTCTTCATTGTCCACAGCTTATCTGGGGCCTCACTTTGGCCTGTGCACTCCCTGTAATCCAGCCACCTCCACGGGCAGAAGTGGTGTCCATCCCTCTCTCCTGGTGACTCTGGGTAGAAGTCGTGGCTGACTGACTGGCGCTTTCCAGCACACCCCTGATGTCACAGGGGCGAGGTAGAGGCAGGGCCACACTCAGCCCAGACCCACCTCCTGCTGTCTGGACTCAAGCAGCAGCACTCACAGGCCAGAAGGTCACTGGTGTGAGATCTACAAGGGTAGGGCCCGTGGCCTTCCAGGGTGACGAAGTGACTTGGATGTGTTCCCTGCTGCAGCCTCCCAGACAGATCTGCTGGCTAATTACAGCTGCTGTTTAGTGTGCTGGGTTTAAACAGCAGACATCAATCTAGTCATTAGTCTTGTTGCTTTATGCCCCAAGGACACATTCATCTGCTCCGCATGCTCCCTTCTCCCTCTCCTGCTCCCAGCCACGCTCTGATTCCATTAGGTGGTGGCCACAGCGCCCAGGGCTGGGCCTAGATGGAGACCAGGAACTGTCCTCTGTGACGCCTGTGAACCTGGGAGGGGAAACGCCAGGCCCCTACCCTGCCACCCCTGAGACTCTGGGAGCCCAGCTTCCTCAGGACTGTCCCTTGAGCTCTGCCCACAATGCCATTGCAGGTACCGTGCCCGAGTAGAGAAAGTCGAGTCTCCTGCCAAAGTACATGTCTTCTACATTGACTACGGCAACGTGAGTGCTGGGTACCAGGGGCTGAGTGGGCAGGGGAGGGCCAGCTAACAGCAGGTCCCTGGGCAAGCCTATCCGATCTCTCAAAGGTCCCTCTGAGTTATTGACAGGCGATAAGCACTGGGCATCTCTCCGATGTATACAACCAGCTAGGCCCCTGAGCGACCAGGCAAAACTAGTGTCTGTGGTTGCAACTGCAAGCACTGCTAGGTTCCATGTCCAGGCCACAAAAATGATAGTCCAGCCACATCCATAGTCCCTCTTCTGCCTCCAACAGCATGGGCACTGGCTTGCCAGAGCATGTAAAGGCCCTTGATACCCATAGCGCCTGGTGTTCATGCCGAACCGGGTGCTGGTTCCCTTTGCTAATCCCCACTTCCCAAAACTCAGGTTTGCTGGACAGGACAGTCACAGAGTGACTGACCGGTACTCTTGGGAGAAAAGTCTCAGGCTGGGCCTGGGAGTCTGTTGACAATTCCTGGGAGGTTCCCTGTAGGCACAGCAGCACATAGGGTAGAAAGTTGTTGTTCAGGGTGTGCTGTGGTTGCCTGCTGTCCTCCCATCCCTCCTTAGGGACTAGAGCTAAGGATCTGTCAGCAGAGACCCTCCCCTGGGAATACACAAAGAAGAGGTTCTGCCAGGCCTGGGTGACCCCACACACTTGGGCCAGAACCACTGGCAGGCCGAGGGACTGCGGGGACCCTTGTTTGGTATGCTCCCCTAGCCAGCACCTGGAGCGGCCCCTGGCCAAGGGCAGGTAGTCAGGGAACACATGTCACAGAGGGATGGGCATTGGAAGGAAATGGAAAAGCAATTCAAATCCAGTCATCACTGATTGTTTCCATGGGAGCCATCAGTTGTGCCTGCACCAGACCCAGAATGAGAGAGTCTGAGTCACAGCTGGCACCAGCAGGGCACATTCTCTCAGGGTTTCACCAACTGGGAAACCTGTGCACGTGACAAAGTGGAACCGAGTCATGGGGTGCACCCAGGAGGCCCAGAGCTAGCACCCCCAAAGGTGTGGCCACAGAAATCTGTCCTGTGAGAGCAAGGGGCATCGAATGTGTAATGCTGTCAGCCTACTGCTTCCTCCGCAGAGGGAAGTCCTGCCGTCCACACGCTTGGGGACCCTGCCACCTGCCTTCAGCACGCGGGTGTTGCCAGCTCAAGCCACGGAGTATGCCTTTGCCTTCATCCAGGTGCCCCAAGATGTGAGTCTGGAGTCTGCTCCTTTCCAAAGGGAAAGGGACTGTCCACGGACACTCAGCCACTGCTGCAGGCTCCACAGGCCGATGGGAGAAGATGGAACAGTGATGGCTTGGTCTGTTAGTAGTAGGGCTCGAGAGATGGGAAGTTGAAGGAGGTGATGTTAGAGGACTCCAGTTATTTTGTGAGAAACAGATAGACCTCATGGGTTTGGGCAAAGACTAGACTACCACAGCTGGACCCCAGGGGCTGCAGGCAGTGGGGAGGTGAGAAGGGAAAGCCGTGGGCTTGTCTGCCCTGGCAAAACTTTGTGCTGTAGGTGGGAAGGACATGGCACAGTTTTCAGCAGAGTGTGCTTCTGAAAAAAATTTTTTTTTTGAGTTGGAGTCGCACTCTGTCGCCCAGACTGGAGTGTAGTGCCATGCTCCTGGCCACCATAACCTCAATCTGCTGAGCCCCAGCAATCTTTCCGCCTTGGCCTTCCAAGTAGCCAGAACTACAGGCGCGTGCTACCACGCCTGACTAATTTTTTATTTATTGTAGAGATGAAGTCTCGCCAAGTTGCCCGGTCTGGTCTCAAACCCACGGGCTCAGGCAGTCCACTCACCTCGGCCTCCCAAAGTGCTGGGATTACAGGCTGAGCCACCGAGCCCGGCCTCAGAAAGTTCTTATGGCACCACGGATGGGAGACTGGAAGGAGTGGGCAGGAGCTGAAGCTAGCAGTGGATTCTGACATGTGTTTGTGTTGCTGTTGGCTAAAGGGAACGAGGGACAAATTGGGCCATGGGACCTTCGGGTGGCTTCGTGGTTTCCCGTTTGGAAGTGAGACGAGGCCTGGGATGTACGGGTTTGAGTAGTCACAGTCATGACACGTGCAGGGTTGCCCAGAGTGAGCCTGTGGAAGCCATGACAGGAGGAGAGAGAGCCTTAGGAAGAGCTTCCACAGGCTCACTCTGGGCCTGTGGACAAGAGCCCCCGAGACAGACTCTGCAGCCGAGAAAGGCCACCCATGCTCAGGGTCAGAGACACCCCAGCTCCCAGTAGGGGAGAGCCGGTCTGCTGTGTCCAGTGCCCCAGGAAGCTCAGGCAGGTGGAGGCTTGCAGGGGCTGCCCTTAGCTGGAGCTTTGAGGAGGCGCCTGGTGCTCGGAGCAAGAGCTGTGTCACAGCATGACTGGCAGTACCACCAGATGCAGAGTGCAAATGAAATCGGCGCTGTAGACTGTGCCCTATCTCTTCACAAGGGTCCTGAAGGGCAAAGAGAAACAGCAGAAAGTGTTGAAGGCGAGTATCACAAAACAGGTCAAGGAGACAGAGGCATGCCAAGCCGGGCACTGTGGCTCACGCCTGTAATCCCAGCACTTTGGGAATCTGAGATGGGAGGATCACTTGAGGCCAGAAGTTCAAGAGCAGACTGGGCAACACAGTGAGACCCTGTCTCTACAAAATATTTAAAAATTTAGCCTAGTGTGTGGCACGTACCTGTAGTCCTAGCTGCTCAGGAGGCTAAAGCAGGAGAAGCACTTGATCCCAGGAGTTCAATTCTACAGTGAGCTATGGTCGCGCCGCTGCACTCCAGTTCAGCAACAGAGCAAGACCCTGTCCCTTAAAAAGAAAAAAAGAGACAGCGACACAGGGATGTGTTAGGCTCAGGGCACTGGAGTAAGGTCCTGTAGGGGGAAGAGGGAAGGGAACAAGTGTAGATGAGCTCTGGATAGGAGACACAGAACAAGTGGGTGCAGGTACGAGGGTAGGAACGAAGGATGGTTCTCGTGCAGATGGGCGTGGGCTGAAGGAACGGGGGTTACTCCCTCTCCGGGGCCTGTTGCCCCTCTGTGAATCCAAAGGGAGTGAGTGGCAGGCCCCACTGGCCAGACTGCCTGGAGCGTCTGTGGATAGGTCCTGGACCCACGCAGCCGTTTTTAGCTCACGTTGGCCTTTCTGCTGACCTGGTGTGTCCTGCCACAGGACGATGCGCGCACGGATGCTGTGGATAGCGTGGTCCGAGATATCCAGAACACCCAGTGCCTGCTCAACGTGGAGCACCTGAGCGCCGGCTGCCCCCATGTCACACTGCAGTTTGCTGATTCCAAGGGCGATGTGGGGCTGGGCTTGGTGAAGGAGGGGCTGGTCATGGTGGAGGTGCGCAAGGAGAAGCAGTTCCAGAAAGTGGTACGTGCCTGCGAAGGTGCCTTGCGGTGGGGGCAGGCCCACACGGTCCCCCCCTCACTGACCAGGATGGGGAGGGAGCAGGGAACCACCGTCCTGCTGTTCCTGCTGGGGAAAGATAATGGATTTGGATTTGTTGGGGTTTAAGAAAAAAGCTAATTACATCCCAAATTAATTGGCTGCGGGTTTGGCTGAGAATGCAGCTGCAAACTAGAGCAGAAAGCTTCCCCTCTCTGTCCCCTCAGGTGCCAGCCTCCAAGGCTTTGCCAGGGGTGGTGAGGAGAGGTCCAAGGCCTATTTTCCTTGTCTCCCAGTCTCACCCCCTTTTCCCTAGCACACAGCTTCCAAGTCCTTAAGCAACTCCTAGCACCCAGTGCCTCTGGAGCCAGAGTTGTGCCGGAGTCAGCACCAAAGGCCCGAGGACTCCGTCCCACACCCTCCAGCCTGTTTGGAAAGCCCTTCAGACTTGAAGCTGGGTGTGAGTCCCCCCTCTACCATTCATGAGCTGGACAGGTCAACTATGAAGCCCCAGGGCCCTGCTGGCAAAGTGAGGCAATCACTGACTGCGTTGTGGCTGTGTGAGGCTGGGCATGGCTGTCAGTGAGTGGATTTCCAGCAACACCCTGCTCTGTGTAGCTGTTGGCTGTTAGGTTTGGGTCCTGGATGCTGGAGAGCCCCTTTCTGAGTCCCTCCCGGGCCTCTCTTCAGCAACAGCTGAGGCCCATTGCAGGCCAGCCCTGCTTCCCAACAGAGCTGCACTCTCCCTGAAGGCTGCGCTGGGGAAGGGGCTCAGGCCCTCCACAGCACCACCTCCTGGCAGAAACAGACAAGGGGGCAACCGGCTGCACTCAGCTCCTCCTCACACTCCCCCAAACAGGGGTGAGAAGGGCAGGGTGTGAAAGCCAGCTTGCTTTCCCTTTTCCCAGTCCTCCTGCGCCTCTGCTCCCCCCAGCACTGCAGGCCCACATGGGTGGTTTCACACATTGATGAGTCATTGGACCAAGATGCTAGTGGGACTTACTGTCATGTCTTGAGAAAAGCTGCCCTAGGCCTCTCCTGAGACCCCCAGTCTCCATGAGAGTTGGCTCCTATGGTCAACTTCAGTTTCCCTGTAGAACTGGAGATCTTCATGTCCCCCATATGAAGTGCCCATAGTGTCTCTGACACCTAGAAAATTCTTGTGCCCCAGCGCCTGAGATAGACACCTCACATATGTTCATTCATTTATTCATTCTCTCAGCAAACATTTATCAAGGGCCTCTCATATATCAGTGAGCAAGAGACAGCATCCCTGCCCTGAGGAGCTTACGTGCAAGCCGAGAAGACAAACAATAAAAAGGAACATAATAAGTAAATTAAATAGAATGCTGGAAAATGATGACTGTGATGGAGAAAGAAAAAAACAGAAGTAGAGTCAAGGGAATCAGGAGTGGGAGGGGAAGGTTGTAATTTTCAAGAGCATCACTAAGGCCTTGTGAAGAAGGAGAGTCTTTATCGTATACTTGAAGGAGAGGTAGCTACAGGACATGAGGGGAAATGTTCCAGCGCAGAGTCAGGGAATACCAAGGAGGCGATTGTGACTGTGCACTTTATATTTTACTCTGAGGAAACGGAGGCTCAGGGCAGAGAGGTGGGTTGAGCAGGGGAGTGATGTGACCTGACCCAAGCATTCTGCAGGGTCATATGGGCAGCTACTCTGTTAAGAAAATCCCTGCTTTGATTATACTCTTGTTCCTCCAGATCACAGAATACCTGAATGCCCAGGAGTCAGCCAAGAGTGCCAGGGTGAGTCCTTGCCTTGGAAGCCCCGGAGGGTACTGAGTCTGAGTACAGGTACTGAGCACTGAATCTGAGGGTTCCAACAGGTCCTATATGTCTGAGGAGTCTTTTTTGTCTCCTCTCACAGCTGAACCTATGGCGCTATGGAGACTTCCGAGCTGATGATGCGGATGAGTTTGGCTACAGCCGCTAAGGAGTGGGTCGGGTCTGGCCCTAGCATCGCTCACGCCAGTTCCTCTTTGTCTGCCAGGACGGTGTTTTCAACTCCAACCCCCAGAGACGGGGTGTAGATTGGGTCCAGCTTTGCTTCAGTGTGTGGAAATGTCTTGTAGGGTGGCATCGGGGCTGGGGGTGGGGTGGGGGACCCCAAGGCTTTCTGGGGGCAGGCCATTTTCCTCTGGGGAACAGGCACTGCCATCCTCAGGCTCTCCCAGCTGATTATGTATTATTTGAGGGCGGGTGTATTTTTTAAAAATTGTCCTCAAATCAGGAAGAAACATGAAAGACTGCCCTACTGGAGGGAGTAATCCCAGCACCCGGGCCAGCCGCCAGCTGGCACTGCCTTTCTCCCAGACTTCCCTTCTTTCCCAGCTCTCTGTCCAACTGTTGATTATGTGATTTCTCTGATATGTCCATTCTCAAATGCCAGCGTGTCCACATCTGCCCCTGGCCAGCCCAGTCTGTATTTAAAGCTTTTGAGGCCCAATAAAATAGTACAAGCTGTCTGCAACCCTGTGTTGGTCATGGTGGAGCCCAGAGCCTGGGGTCTCGGCAGCCCCAGCCAGGAGGAGACTTGGACACTTGAATGACCCCAAAGGTAGTTGTGCAAATGCCTGGCCACACCTCCCAAAACATAGCCAGCTAGGGGAAGCCCAGCGGTTGTTCAGAGTCCCGAGTGCCTCCTGGGGCCTGCTGGGCACCACTTGGCACCATAGCCATCATGCAGAAGGCCAGATGTCTTTTTCAACTCCTTGCACATGGCTGTCCTCAAGGACCCAAGAGAGAGAAGCTCGGCCAACAGCACCCAGGACCACTCACCTGCTGTGAACATGTGCGTAGCATTAAAGGCCTAGACAGGGAATTGCTGGGCCCGTCCTTAGGCCAGGAGCGAGCCCCAGCAAGAGTCCAGAGTGATTCAGCTAAGGGAAGCAGGGTGATGCCCATAATCCCTGCTGTGACTGGCTCTGAGTGGGGTAGGCCACAGGCCCACTATCCTTCACTGGAGAACAGATCTGGGAGGACAGGCTTCTCCAAGAGGGATCCAAGCCCCAGTGAGGAGAGGCCTGTCCACTCCAACTTAGCTCTTTACACCCTCTCCCCAAAGGTCAAGGTAGAGCTGACCTCGAGCTCAGAAACCCCACAAGCGATGAAAGCAGCCACTGTGGTGAGAAAGTCCATGTGTGGAGTGGGGGTCACCACTCCCAGCATCTGGCAGCCCCACTTTCCACCCTGATATTCTAAGATTGGTGCTTAGATCTTGGGGGGCGAGGAGTTGGAGGAATTAGGCCCAGCTGGCCAGCTCTCACTCCTAACACACACTTGTTCTGGCCAGGGTTCACATGGGGTTCTGCCTGTAGGCAAAAAGATGCATACTTGTACTCAGGATCGCTAGTGAGAGGTTGAATGAGAAGAACCAGGAGGGTGGTGGGGAGAGACGGCGAGTCCATTCCACCAATTCAGCTCCAGAAACAGCTACACTTCCCGTCGTCCATCTAAGCCCCTCTGGCTTGATGCAAGTGCTTATGCTCCCTGACTCAGACCCCTTATTGTCCAGTAAACTCTGTCTCCCACGACTGCGTGCAACCAGCCCCTTGGAGGGCTGGGAAGTCCGCGAAGTGTGGATGATGGCTGGGTATGACTCTCCCCATCATCCCTCCTGGAGTAGCTGCCCTGCCACCACAGGCAGCACACCCTCAGCACGTCTCTCATTTTTATCCGTGGGGAGGAGAATACCCATTTCACCCATTTCTCGACCTCCAAGGCTCTCCCAGCAGGGCCAAGAGGGAGGTCGGCACGTGCTCATGGTGAGCACAGTCGACAGAGGGGCGAGACACCAGCCCACTCTTGTGAAAGGGCCTGAAATCATCTCACAGTCTCAACAGTTGCCTTGGTTACATCTGTGCCCAAGGATAAGCCCTCCTTCATTTTCCAATTGAAATTATGCCTGATTCTTCCCACTTCTTATTTTTGTTCTCTTCCAAGGCTGGTTTAGACAAAGGTCAGGGTGGTCACCTCAGGATGGTGCTGCTGCCACATGTATGGTTGTGGCCTCAGCTTGGTGTTTCTCTCATTCTACCACATCTGGAGCTCCCAAGCTCTGTCCTAGGCAGGGCTGGGACTAGGATAAGGTATGCCACGTACTTAGGGTGCAGGACTGAAGGAGGTGCCCACAGTGTGTGTGTGCACGGGCACGTTCCGTGCTTATCCCTCAATAGCCATCAGCGTCCTCACTTGCACCAGTAGCGCAACAAGCTCTCCAAAGCTTCTGCCTCTTCCCTAGAGCTATGAAAATGTACTCTTTAACCTCAGTATCTAGGGTTCTGCTTCCCACCCACTTTGCCAGTCGAACAAGATCTCTTGATCACCTCATACGTCTGCCATTCCTGCATCCAGCAAACTGAGGTGAGGGCCCAGATAGTGCCAAGCCCAGCATTGGGTCTGGTGAGTGCCAAGGCCACCCCTGACCTCTCAAGGCAGCAGATGCCAAACTGTTGATAACAGGCCACAGCAGTGGGCAGTGCCCTGGCCCAGGTGGCTGGGATTTTCCTGGGAAAGGGGGGAGTTGGCTAGCAGAGGGCAGGAGGGCCTTGCTCGCCTCTGTGCAGACTGGGGAGTTCCCCATCTTTGGGGATGGATGCAGCAGATCCCGGGGTCTGGGATGGCCACCAGGGGAGTACTGATGCTGGAGACCCTCCCGGGCGACCTTCACCTTCCTTCTGCCGGGTGCAGAGTCAGTAGGGAAAACGGCCACGCGGGAAGGGCTCTCAACACTGCCTCTGTCTTAATTATTGGTTTATTTCTCACTCTGGGGAGTCGACAGACCCCTTTCCTGCATTAGCCCCTGTCAGGAAGCAGCTAGGGAGGGGCTAGAGAGCTGGTGCCTCCAGAGCAGTTATTGATGTCCTAATTACAAGAGGATGCTAATTTAATTTGAACCTAATTACAGTGCACTACCCTGGGTGGCATGTGTTTTAATAATTAACGTCCTTTGGATGCGTAGGAGTGTAATAATATTTACACTAGGTTGGCCAGCAGCCGGGGGAGGCAGACTGGGGGCCTATGCGCCACCCTTCCCCCGGACAGCTTGGTTGCTGGCAGGTGGGGACAAAAGGCACATGAGCCCTGGTGGGTCACTGTCTTGTCATCCCTCTCAAGGAACACGCCTGGACCTCATTTCCAGCCACTTCCTTGACACAGCAGGCGGCTTTGCTCTGTGGGGCGCCAGGCTGGAACTCTGAAATACATCCGAAATACATCAAGACTGGCAGGACCAGGGCTCAGGGCTCCGCCTCCAACTCCCTCCATGCCACAGAGGCATGCTTCTGGCTCCCCCCAGTCTGCCTAGGCCCATCCCAGGAAGTGGAGGAGGAAGAGTGACTTGGTTTTCCTTCATTTCTTTTTCGGGGGTGACATAAGGAAACATTCAGAAAAGTGCACAAACTATAAGGGAACTGCTCAAGCATTCACAAAGTGGTATTCCCCACATATGCAGCACACACGCCCAAAGACCTGTCGTCAGCACCCTCCAAGGTCACGTGCACCCCAAAGGTAACCCCTGTCTTCACGTCCATCCCAGTGGGTGAGTTTTGCCTGTTTTGTTTGATTTGGTTTTCTATTTTGCATAGTTTTACATTTTACATGAATGGACTCAGACTATGTATTCTTATGTGCCTGACTTTGACTCAAGTGTGTCTGAGACTCCTCCATGTCATTACAAGGGGGAACCCCCCAAAAAACAGTTATCTTTTGGAGAGTGGGCCCCTTGTAGTACACTAAGAATTTATTTCTCCGGATCAAACAGTCAACTAAAGTTTTGAGAAGGTTGTGTCCCAATTTGCAGAAGAAACGTCACGAGTGGTAGCAAATAGGTGAGGGGTTCTTCCATCACAGCAACACACCTGCCCATACCATACCAAATATTCAGCAGTTTTTGACCTAAAGCAGTGTGACCCCATGTTTCACCCTCCCTATTTACCCAGTCTCACCATAAATGACTTTTTGTTTTGTTTCCCTGGAAGAAAAAGTCCTCAAAGGAAGACATTTTGCTGATGTGAAAGAGGTAACACAAAAAATGGGCCAGGCTCAGTGACTCAGCCTGTAATCCCAGCACTTCGGGAGGCCGAGGTGAGTGGATTGCCTGAGCCCGCGGGTTC